TCCGGGCCGAGCCAGGGGAGCGCGGCGGGGGCACCATGCCTTCAACCTTCTCCGAGTGGGGCCTGGGGCGCCTGCTGCTACTACTGCTTCTCGGCACCAGGGTCTCGGGCGGGACCCCTGCAGGTAAATGTAAACTCTCCCCGGGTCGGGCCCCCTCCGCCCTCTGTGTCCGGCGGGCCGGTGTGAGGTGGACTGGAGCACCGTCTGGGAGCAAAGGTCCTCCTTGCTCCGCAGCATCCCCCCCGGCTCTTGGGGGAACGCAGCGCTGCCCCGGCACGGCGGCTGCCTTTCGGCTTTGCCTGTGGGAGCAGCTGAGGCGTTTCTTTTTCTCAACGGCCCCGATCCTGCCCGGCGCCCCTGCCTCCCTCAGTGCTCGGGGTTCTCATGGGACAGCGGGGCTCCGCTCTCGCTATGCCCCCGCACCGAGGTGGTGGGCGGCGGCAGATGGGGAGAGCCGCATCGGTGATCAGCCGTCCTGTAGCCTCAGCCCCTTCTCCCTTACTTATGGAAGGGTTAATTGGATCACAGGTGCAGGATTGGGAAGGTGTGGTGTTGTGTCTCTTTTCTGTCCGGTCCTCACTGCGTAAAGCGTTTAAATGCTGAATAAAAAACTCCGCAAACCCCCCTGCAGATCACATTACTGAGATACGAATGTGCCTAATGGGTTATGAGTGGTACTCCTTAGGATTTTGCCTTGCGTTTTTAAAAATGGCATTTAAAATCCATGAAGAAAGAGGGACTTGAGCCTTCTGGGCCCCATTCCTCCTCTAGAGGCTTTCGGCAGTTCAGGAGCAGGCCAGCTGCTTCTCAGGAAATACGATCGTGTTTCTAAAACTAGTGGATTTTGGTTAATTTTCTCTTCTTTTTGAGGCGTTGCACAGTAGCAGAGAAGGATTGTAGTAGGAATTACCAGATTGTTGGTGTTTGCTGTTCCGAGTGAGATTCTTGGAGCAGGTCTTGCTGGGCCAAGAGTACTGTCCCGTGTATATGTGCATACACATACTTGTATGTGAACGCCAATGCTGTGACTTGAATTCAGTGTGGTTTAGCTGCATTTTCAGTGTATGAAATAAAAGCAGTTAGGTTTTCTTCATCTCAGTTGCACTTCCTGGTACCTAGAGGACCAGTTCTGCTCCCAGGTGATGGTACTGTCTGTAAAATTTCTTGTAGTTTTACTTAATGTGAAAGGAAATGTACTTTGCACTTCTCAAGTCTCCTTTGAAATGCATATTTAAGTCTGTACAAAGACAAGAATCTGCTTTGTAGCTATTAAGTCTTCTTTAAAATACATGTGCATATATATGTAAAAGCAGGATTGAAGTCCTTTTGAACAGTTTACTCATTTGAGTTTTTTGAGTGTAAATGGTGTGATATTTGTAGGAATGTGCGAGTCACCATGTGGCTAATTGCCATAAGATACTTATTATTGATAACTGTTAATTTCGAAAATCATACCTGATGGTGGCTGAAGCAATTTTAAGTTTATGTAAAGCCATTGGTAAAACTATAGCACCTCAAAGAAAAAAACAAAACAAGTGAATCAAACAGCAAATCTTTTTTTGTGTTTCCAAAAATTCCACAGATCTACCATCTTCCTAAAGTGATGTGTATTGTGTGGCTTAGAGCAGACTTCAAAAAGAAGCCACTAGCTTATCTGTATAGAGTGAACCTGTTTTCCAGACTTCTGTTATTAACTGTTTTTATAGCTGTATGAACTAGATAGGGAGGCATCATACTGTGACTTCTGTGATGATTTAAACAAAAAATGGTAGTTTACTCTTTCACTGGTCATTAACTAAATGTGTATAAAGCTAATTGAACACAGGGACTATCTACACAGCTGCAGCAAAGGGAAGTTCATGTCACTTGAAGGAAGAAGAATTTAAAACTGTTTTCCAGTGAAGTCCAGCAATCGTGTTTGTTTTGGGGATGTGAGGGCTCTTCAACCAAAAGAAATGCTTGCAATAAAAGTAAGCAAAGGGAACACTTGCTATACAAGAACTGAGTTTGAGGAAAGTGGATTACATAGTCTGCAGATGGTCAGGCAGATTCCCCAAAAGCACTATTAGATTTTTATTTTGAGATAATATCTTGAAGAAGATACTTATTTTATTATTCTTATCTTAGTCATGTAACTGTTAATTGTTTTGGAAAAATCTAAACTCTTGTTTTTGTTTTGCATAAAGAGTAAGTTCTGAGTGTCAGAACACTTGTTCAGATCTTTCTGCTCTGTTTGATTTCCTTTGTGGTTTTCTTAATTTAGTTGCAGCAAATGTTGCCAGATTGATTTAGGAAAAGCAATCCCACCACATCTCATCTCTCACTTTCTAGTCCTGAAGATATCAAGGAACTATGAGTGTAGAGCACACCTCATTCCTTACAGACTGCTTCCAAGTTGTGTTTTTCTGGTTTGACCTGAGGGAACAGCTTTTATCAGGGTATTTGGAAGGCCTTAATGTTGATTCTCTGATGTCTCTGGGGCATTAGGAGGTTCTGGTGGCTGGTTTTGGATGCTACTGACTGCATGTGAACTTAAAAAGTGTCTGATTGGTATTAAATTAAGCAGTAAGATAAAGATGTTAAACCAAATATTATTTCAGCCTTTTCTTACTCAGCTGCTTTTCTGGCTGAAAGAGAGCAAGGAAATTTTTAATCCTGAAGTTACTCTGGTAATAGTAAGCATGGTACATCCATGCTTTTGTCCCTCCCAAAATTCTGACTACCATACAAAGCAGAGGCAATGTAGAAGATTAAATTCATGATGTCATACACTTGCATATTCCTTCCTGCATGGAAATCAAGGAGATGAGAACTCTATAGCCTATCACACTATTGATTAAATCTAGTGCAGAATAATTATAGGCTAAGGCATGCAGCCATGACTCAATAGTTTGAGAAATTACTCCGCGTGACTTGCTTACATCATTGCCTGGCTGGATGACACTAATAATGCAGTGCTGGCCCATTTTGATCACCAGTGCTATTTAGCAAGTATACATGAGAGGAAGAGAGTGGTGCAATGTTATCTCTGTTCTATGTAATTTGACATGTGCACAGATTAGATGAAAGATCTGGAAGCAGGGGTGACAAAAAATACTACTACTTGACTTTTTTTACTTGATACATGGATAAAGGAAGAAATAAAGGATAGGATAAAGGAAGAAAGCCAAGATGAGAACCCTGTTAGTATGCAAACCACATTGCAGGTTATCAGCCTTTATTGCAGAGAGATAACAGAGCTGCTGTACAGCTTGGCACTGGCACCTTCTAAATTTATCATCTTTGGGGATTTAATTAATGTGCAGGTGATCCATGACATACTTAAAATGCCTCAAGATGCTGCAGTTATAAAAATTCTTGGACCTTTCTTCAGTTGTACTATGAATATCAGAAAAATAATAGCTCTCTGTGCTCAGTACCTCTGTCAGGCAAAGAGTAAGACTCAGTCTTCTTAATGTCTGGCTCATAGGCTGGTACATCCTTAGAGCAGATTTTAAAAGTTCTTTTCTTAGCTGAAGGGCTCAGAGGGAACAGCTGGCTGTGGGACCAGTGGACTGATAAAAAAGTGGGCTGCTGTTAAGGACCAGTATTGCTTAATTCTTTTAATCATATCTTTCAATTACCATGTTTTACTCTTGGTCCAAACTGTTTGAAGTATGATGGACAGATGGAGACAGCAGATGGTGTAAGCCAAGCATGGCAGTAGTGGAGTAACTGTGTACTGGAGGTTCCAGTGGCGAATCTATAGATTGTCTCTGCCTATTGGTGCTGAAATGAGGTAGGAGTGTAAGTAATGTTCATTTGTGAAATGGCGGAGTGCTGACTTCATCTTCTGCAGAAAGTATGTGATTCTCAAGTCTGAATTGACTTAAGTGCATTTGAGATTGAATGCACTTAAAATATGAGTTAGCTTTTCACTGTGTACTTAAGTGTTGGATTGGATCCTTGTGGGTCCCTTCCGATTCTGAATGTTCTGTGATTTTGTGATCTGTGCATGTTTGTTGCTGTCCTGGGTGTCCAGAAGAGTTCATGATCCCAATTCCACCCCTCTCCCAAGACTTCAATTACAGATGCAAAATACATGTCCTCTTTTTCTCTTGTGGCTGAATCACTTTCTATAAATAGTGCTGTGGCTCTAAACTACGTCCTGGAATACGTTTGTTAGTGAAGATAGTACAAAATAAACACTAGTTCTGTCACCCAAAAGTGGAAATAAAGGAATGAGGAGACATTTCCATTCTTTTAAAACATCTAGATATTTCGAGTTTTTAAGAGTGACACAGCTGCTAACCAAGTCCTTTGCCTCTTTCATTCCTGTTCTTTTTCCAGTCAAGAACATTAAAGCATACTAGATTCTTAAATGGTTCTTGTAAAAACTGTATCATAGGAGCAGGATCAGATTTGCAGTGTGGTACTGAGGAAAGTTGGAAATATTTATTAGTGTTGGATGTTGAAGTTAATGTTTGATACAGATGTCTTTTCTTTTTCTTATCGAGGTGCTAGTGGAAGCAAAGGAGGATATGGTCATTGCTTGTTCATCACACTAGATTTGTAAGGTTGTAATGAAGTCCTTACTCTATTGGAAAATTTTCTAATCTGTTTGAAGTTATTGACCAGTGTCAGTGGCGTAAGTGGTGTTTTTAAAGCCCATGAACAGAAAGGATGTGAGTACAGTTTAAAAAGTTGCTGGAACATTCTGAGAATGGCTTTTCTTAGCCATAAGCTAACTGCAAGAACTCTACGGAAATTAGAGATCAAATATTGTCTCCATTCTTTAATCTTTTCTTGCCTAAAGTGAGCTAAACAACTGATGAAAAACGATTATTGTGCATTTTATAATGGTGTATGCTCAGAACTTGGGGGAAAAAATGGAGGGGAGAGGCTGAGTTGAGGACATTCTGCTGGAATTATTTTCATGAACTAGCTTTTACTAACTCTTAAGTTTCTTTAAACCTTTTCTGATGTTGTTTTTGGTTTGATTTTTTTTTTTTAGATCCAGCTATGACAACACAAGATTCAAGTCAGACACAGGTGAATTCTGTCACTAAGATGCAACCTGGACATGAATCATCTGGTAATTGTTTCATTTCAGTACTTTTAAAACTATGCCTTTCTCCTATTGATACTAGTTTATCATATAGAGTTTACATTTTCACGGTTAAGTGTCTTGAAATAAAATTGTGACTTTTTGGAAGAAACAGATACAGCTCCTAGGTCTTTCAAAGCCACTGCAAGAGCTTGAGTGTCATGGGTATCTCCAGAACTGGAAAAAGCTATGCAACTGCCATTTTCATGACGTGTTGCCCTTAGACATGTATGCCTTAAAAGAAGGCAATGACCCTGGAGGTCAGAAAGTGCCCAAACTAGTACCTCTGCAGGGAGTTGTGTTCTAGCCTTTAGACATAATAATTATTTAATATGAGAGCTTGTTATGCCTGTATGTTATTGAAAGGTATAAAAATGCCCTTGCATCACCATGCCTGCTAGCTTAATCTTTCTTAATTATGGCTGTGTCAAAACTGTCTGTTGTCCATTATACCTTAATTGTTTTTTCTACAGGGTGCTGAGAATAAGTTCCAGGCAGGACAAGAAACGAATGATTGTTGGTTCTACTTTGTCTTTCCCCATAAAGATCAGAGAATCAGAATTTCAGTGCTGTCCCAAAGCTCATGTTGATTTGTCAAGTCAAATATGAGCTGAGTTACATTTCACTCAGTCAAGTGCTGGCAAGTTAATTTCACCTACAAGTTGGAGGTTTTTTTGAGATCAAGGGTATTTATCTGCTTTTCATCTTAGGAGCTTTTTAGCACAATGTGAGAAGTAGGAGTGCAATAGCTACTAAATTGAATAACTCTCTACATACATAAACACACACATTTATGAGACATAGAAAGTGTTTCATATAATATGACCTCACCTCAGTATTTCCTTTTGATATGTGAATTGAGGAAGAAAATCAGTATGAAAATCCTATTTGTTGCAAGACATTTCAAAGGCTGATGAGTTTTTTGTGGCTTGATCTACCATATGAACTAGCATTGGTGCCTTCTGAATGTATCGTTGTGAGAGATTTAGGTAAAAAAGCAGGTGATGAGTGTACTCGACTGACATAAACGTGGGTGATCTGTGACAAGTCTGCCATGCTGTCTGAGTGTTTGTGCACACAGGCAGGTTAAGATCTGCCAGAACTTTCAAGCCTTGATATTATTTCCTGGGTAAATACTTGGACTGGTTTACTTCTCCATGGGGCAGAGATCGAGGCTTTTTGTGTTCTTGTCTAGGGCCAACAGGACTATTGTCTACTGCTGAAGACAGCTTTGATTTCTCTGCTTAAAAAGCCATTTTTTACTATCAGTTGAGATTGACAACAATCTGCTGTCAACAACACCAAATGAAATAGCCTGGTATTTAGTTCGTAATTTTCATTACCAACCACCTTAATATACACATTTATTTTTGCTTAAACTGGTTGAAGCTTGAAGGAAAGTATGAAAATGCAGATGGAGCAAGCCTGGCAGAAAGGTTGGTTGCCTGAGGCACAGAATTCCTTGTGCTGTGAGCTTGATAGGATGTTTTCTGAAACTGGCCAACAACTTGAAAAGGCAGATGTACCTCTGCTTATGCCTTTAGATGCAAACCACTAGCAGGGACCTCCTTCAACACAGCCAGATGCTCTCAGCAGTAGCTCAGAGGCAAGTGTTTAAGAGCTTTACCTTCGAGTTCAGTGTTTTATGCAGGGAAAGAGAAGGAGCAATAGTGATGAGATGTAGGCTTTCTGAGGAGCTATTTCTACTGCAGAGTGATCAGTTTGGCTACCCAGTGCGTCTCTCAGTGGGAGGGCTAAAGCTGTAGCCCAGTTCCTTTGTCTTCTCAGTTGTGATTTGGAATCTTTATGATCCATGAATCTTTCTGATCCATGATGTAATCAAGCCTCTTTTCTTCTACAAAAGCCAGGATGTTTTTCTCTTATAATGCTGTGTGACTAGGCAGAATCAGTCTCTAATTACTGTTCATACCTTTCTGCAATGCATTATGAAACATTTGACAGTGAAATTACTTTCCAAGTGTGTAAAAGCATGTGTGGTGTAAAACATTTAGTGTATCTTTTGGGCTGGTGGTTAAATCTATTTTTCTCTTTTCATCACCTTAATTAAAATAAGATTATTGTAGCTGGGCTACATCTGTTTGAGCTGCAGCTTATTAATTTGCTTTCTTTCTCTATTCTCGAAATGCGTGAGAAGAGGTGATGGGAACAGGCTGTGGTAAGAATTGCTGTATCAAGCTCTGTAGAGCTTTGTAAAAGATCTCATATGTTCTGAAGGGTATGTGATCCAGAGCTGCACCAAAAAGGAATTTTGGTGACCATATACCTTGTAAATGTAGGTTTTCTTCACAAAAGGAGAAAAATATTTTTAGGTCAGACATATGTTGGTTAACATTTCCTTTGTAGAAGGGCATTGCCTGCTATATATCAGAATTTTTGAGGAGCAGTGAGTATCTTTGACCATTTTGTAGTGAACCACAAGGTGTTCTTACCCTGCATTCATTAAAGAAGCACCTTAGATTAGACTGTCTGCCTCTGACTTCCTGGCTGTATTGTTAGATTGTAGTAGCTTTGGGAATGGTAGCATTCTGTTGTTCTGGGGTTTTTTGTTGGGTGGTTTTTTGGTTTTGTTTCTCTTGCATGGTTGGTTTGGCTTCATTATTTTTTTCTAAAGCTTATTACTTTTTTCAAGAACTATTTAGACATTGATGTAGAAGTCATGTATGTAGGCAGTAGGTGACTTCTTGAGTCAGGCTATAAAGTAGCTCTGACATTTTTAGACACTGATAATCACAAATTCAACATTACAATAAAGCTAAAAACCATTATCTAGCAATTGCTATAACAGCAACCCCACAACACTGCTGCTTTAAGATTATGGATGCTAACACAGGTCTATAAAAGGATCTCCACCCTAGTCTGCGTTTGGCAAGGTCCATTTTCTCCTTTTAAAATTGTTATAGTTGATAATTGCCAAACCGCATTGATGCTACTGTGTGATTACTTACATAGGATAACTTAACTTTGTTTCTGCCCAAATCTTGTTGGGTCCAGATGTTGCCACACAAGAACTCAAGCCAGCAAGCAAGGATGACTCAGAATATGAGATAGTCCTATCTGGTGAGTGCATTATTTTTTGTCTTCCAGTTAATTTATATTGAATGTAAGTACACACAAACTTCCATATGAGTTGTAGAAGCATCTAGAATGGCAGGTTCTTGATAAAGTGAGGATGTTGCAGTGAGTATGTGATGAGCCCAGTAAAAAGTAAGTACATTTATGCTGTTATTAACTTCTCTGTTCTAATACCTATTTTTCAGTGGAGAATTAGATTGCTACTTTCATTAAAACTAATTCATAACTCTTTTCCTCCAAATCAATTGAAATGATAGCTTTTTGCATTAGTGAATCCACTTGCAGAGGGCACATAAGCTAGAGTACTTGCTGAACAGCAGGTGTTGGCTTAGCAACATTGCACGAGTTAAAGCATGAAGAACAGCAAAAATAAACCTGTTCCTAAAGTACTTACAAAGTTCCTAGTTGCCAAATAGTATCCTGTTATTTCTTGGTTAGCTGGAGAAACTGATCTAACTGAAGTATCTCTGGAAGATTTGCAAAATACTGGCATGATATTTTAAGGATGTAATTTTGCAGCATTTATGCTGTGTTTTCTTCTAGCAGGAAACTTAAAGTACTCTCTGTTTCCTGTTGTGGTATCTGCACTCTTAGTACAGGGATGCCCCAAAAATCAGTCTTGCTATTGGTGAATCTTCAACATCATGTGGTTTTATGTTTCGTTCATTCAAAGGATGGATTTAATTTTAAAATAATTTCGTAAAGGACAGATAATATTTTCAGCTGGTGTAATTAGTCTGACTGTAAAACTCTTGCTGCTGTGAAACCAATTCCAGTTGTAAAATTACTTTGATCATAAGCAACCTCAACAAGCTGGGTTACGCTTGGCTCATTTATTCAGCCTAATTGCTCTAATAAATGAGTTTCAGTAACTGATGTTGCTCTGCAATGGAAAACTGATGTGTTGCACTTCTAAGTTTATCTCCAGTTCAGCAGATCTGAAGTGTTTTGGCTGGGACTTGCAATTCTGGATATGCTGTTCTTCAGGTTGTAAATGTCTCTGCCAGACCTGGTAAAGTTCACTTACTCTGGAATTGGTGCACTCACTCCAGTGAGACTTTGCTGCTGCATAGGTATGACTTGCATTACTAAGTCAGTGAGCTGTACTTTAAAACTTCATTTGCTCTTGGAAAGAATGTGAACTGTGTAATACACCTACACTTTATTGACCACCAAATAATACAGAGTACATCTAAAATTGAAGTGAGGCATGAATAAATTTTCTTGTTAGATGACTAACTGAACGTCTGTCTAGAAGGCATGAAAGAGAAGGCCAGTTACGAAATAAAATGTCACTGCTAACAGGTACAACATCTAAAGTGTTTTCTTATAAAAGGCTGTTTCTATGGATTGGAGAAGATATCTGCCGTTACCTACTTTTTGGCTGTGCTTATTTTAGGTTTTTATGAACCTATGCTCATGGAAGACAAAAAACTGACAAGTTTTTCTACTGTATTGGAGTATTTTCCCTCCGTAATTCTACTGGCCTGCCAGGAAGGCAAAGCCAGCCCTAAATGGGTTTGAAGAGGATTTGTGTCAGGTTGCGTAACTGCAGCATGAAAGGCATGATCCAGCAGTGTTAAGGGTGTACATTTTATCTATAGCTTCCCTAGCAGTAGTATCTCACAGCATCATAAAAATCTGCAGCTGGCTAAAGTCCAGATGGTTATATATACTTATATCTTAACCCTTCTTGACACTAATAATATAATTTTCTATAGACATATTAAGTACTTAATATTTTTTTGTGTGGATTAAATAATGTAAAAGCTTAAGTCTATCTCTTAAGTCTCTCTTGCTCTCAGTGAATTGATTATCTATCCTTCTATATTAGAGCCCTCTAGGAAGTTTACCTACAAAATGGGAGTGTGTTATTTTATGTATTTGCAGGGGCTTTTTTGTCCTGGAGAGTATAAAGAGCACCTGTGTTGACCTGTAATCCTGTATATCTAAACACAGTCTCTGAAGTTTTTTTGCCCAGACTGAGGAAATGCGTTTTTTTCATTAAATGTTCTTAAACTTTCTTACAGGTGCTCCAGTGGAAAAAAATATCTCTGTAGCCAGTCCAACTAAAGTTGAACTTCTATGCAAATTAGGTGAGGATTCCAATTTGAAAAATCCTCAAGTGACTTGGAAAAAGGGAGGTGAAACAATCAGTCACACCACTAAAACTCAGAACAGCTGGAGCATCCAGTAAGTAGCATTCTTTACACTGTGATTTGCAGATTCTAGTGAGTTACCATATTATATATGTTGCCCAGTACTAGTAATGTGTATATTGGAAAATGGACAAATGCAAAGATTAATCAACATACTGAAGCTGGTGGAAAGGAGAAAGGTTGCTCCTATTTTTCCTCTAGTGCATGAAAAACAAGGTTGTTTTTTTTCTAAAAAAGAACATAGAAGAAGGAAACAGTTCCTTGAAGTCCAACAATTTTTTCAGTAAGTGAAATAATGATCAGTCTGAGATGAAAATATTTTAGCAATTTCTTTTTCTACTCCCTAATTTTCCATGTGCTCTTTTCCACCTCATTGCTGCTTTGCAAGAGTATGGAAGGTAGCAATGGTCATTTTCTTTTCTTCATAGTTAACAAAGGTAGACGTGAAATTTTACAGTAAAGATATTTTGAAGGTTTTCTTAAGTCTTTCAGATTTCTACAGAAACTCAAAAAATGTTGAAGCCTTTCTACAATTGATACAATTTATTGTTCTTTAGAATTAGGCCAATTGCACATTTTAACTGACTGGTTGCCAGTTGATTTCTCCATAGCTTTAGGAGCAGTAGTATTTACATAAATTTTGGTTGTAGAAAATACAATAAGAATAAAACTGTTACTTTCCTGATACTCCATATACATAGACTTGTAAATCTTTCTCAAAGTGACAGTAGAATGCATAGTTTGCCGGTGAAGAAGATGCTGTCCTTCATTAGATGAAAGCTCTTTAAAACTGTTTTTTGTGTTGATGAGATTACTTAAATGGTTTCTTCTTCCTAAAGCCCTATATAGGATGCGCTTCACAGTTCAGATGGTGAACCCATGTCCAATTCAGTAATCTGTGATAATGCTGCATAAAGGTGGCCTTCTGTCAGTGTGAAGGGTGAAAATGGTGTTTATGATCCAAAGTGTGCTTGTGCTTTTCCATTTTCTTAAAAACATGACACCGTTTCTGCATTACACTAAACCTGAATCCTAGTGTTGCAGTGATGTTTTCTGCTCCATTACTGATTCTTACTGGGTTTTTTAGAATGCTAATTAGCAGTCACCTGTAGCAGTAAAAAGAGAAAATATTAAAAAAGCCCCCAAATTAATGATTTCTTTTTTTTAGAGTGACCATTTCAGAAAGCAGTCAGCTGGGAAGTTACACTTGTATTCTGAAAGGTGAAAAAGAACTCAGTGCTACATTTCATTTGCATGGTAATTTAATTAATTTGTATTTATTTTAAATTTTTGTTTCAGCTAACCACTGCAAAGGTTTATTAATATTCTTTCTGGATAGTATGGAAATTGCAACATAATTTGATAAGTTATGACTAGTAGAGTCAGACTAAGTGAAAATAACTATCAAAGTAATTTCTGTAGCATGGATTGAAGAATTTTGAACCAAAAACTAAAAGCCTTTTAAAAAAAATTCTAGTAACTGAAAGAGCATGAAGTCTTTATTTTCACCCTTCTTGACAAATTGATTTTTCCTCCATCTCTACAGTAGATGTGAATACACTTTACTTTCTGGGACATGAGAATAAATGATGGTGTCTCAGAAATATCTTCAAAAAGCAGAGCAAATAGTTAGCAAGTTGAATCTGAGATTCGGTGTTAAAAGTGAAGTAATGATTGGTAAAATGGAGGCAGGATTTTTAAAACTGCATTTGTATTTCTGAAACACTACATTATTACTTCAATGCTTCTTTTATTCTGTAATAGTATAAGAATAGTATTTAGATGAACAATTAGTGTGCTTCATTGGGCAGCATAACTGCCCTTTCTTCTGTTTTGTGTTCTCCAGTAATGTTACTCTGGAAGTACTAGGTGAAATTCAGTTGTGTGGAAATGATAATACAAGCTGCTGAGCTGATGAATAACTCTAATGGGAGATACTCCTTTCTCTGTTCATCCAAATTTTGCAAAGAGCAATGCAGTAATTTAATCTGTGAAGGCTGATATAGGAGTGTTTTTCCCGAAACACAGGCTCTGAGAAACCCTAACTATTCAAATCATTACCTTAACCCCAGCTAAATTAAGCAGTGGGGCTCTCTAGTTCTTCAGCTGCAAGTTGCCTTTGTTCTGTGGAATAGCCAGTAATAGAACTTGAATGAACTTGTGTGGGTTCAAATATCAAATACTGATACCTGCTTTCAGACATTCAGCCAGGAGAAACTAGCTTGCAGTGCTGCATAAAGACAAAAATTTAAGTTTATTCAGGCTTTTTAATCTCTAAAAAATAATTATGTATTTTTCTTGTCAGCATGTGGCTAAGGTTTAGTTGAACAGCCAGCCAAGTCAGTGTAGATGGAAAAAAGTCCAAGGAGACTTTATTTTTTCTTTTTCTCTAAGTACACAATAACTATTATGGTAAGGGCAGCAATGACTCAAGAGGAAAGTCATCTTTTCCAGGACAGTGCATAGGACTGGTTGATTTATTAGAAGAAGATCAGAGAATTGCTGCATGATGGTTGAATGCTGCCACTTCTGATGCCATAAAAAGTACTGGCTTGATGCTTTTTAAGATTAATGCAATAGTGAAGGAAATGGGAAAGAGAAGTCCTTGAATCTTCCAGTCAATAATGCAGGGAGAACAATTTTCAAACTGAAAGATGAGTAATGTGTTGGTATAGACTCAGTGACTTAAGTCATCACTGCTGTAACTAACTGCAATAGCTTTTCCACAGGGCAGTTTGTGGGATTATTGGATGTGTTACCTCTCCTCTTCTGCCCCCCGATTTCTGGCCTGGCATAACCCCTCAGATTTTGAGGAGTTACGTTTTTACTCAGATTTGCAGAAAGCAATTAGATATTTACAGGAAGTTAATAAATAACAGAGGACATTCATGGATATTACAAAATGTGAAGTGCTGCTAGTTTCTAAAAGGGTAGAACAGATTAATTTATTTGCCCTTTGTTCAGGGGACCTTTAAGCAGCACTCCGAGATACGTGCACCGTGAAATAGCTCTGGTTTTTAAAACTGTGGAAATCTGACTGGTGCGCTTGCTGGTGCTGACACCTGTCTGTTTCTTCAAAAGTTGGCTTTGTCTGTGCAGCAGAAGTATTTTGTCACCAAATTCGGTATGATCCACTTGCAAAAATACTTGTGACAAGCCTTGCCTGTATTCAAGGTTTAACTGCTACAGAGCCAGATCCCAGAAGTTGTAACAGATATTAATTTCCTTAGTTGTTGCTAATTCACATGTAATCGTGGCTAAATCACATGTATTGGTGGCATGCCTGTAGCTGAGCTTTGCCACTTGTCAGTGTGGCTAAATCTCTTCAACTGCTGCATCAGCTTGTTGCGCTGGGTATGCAGGGTGTTTTATCTCAACCTGCTTGTGTGTTCTCTACATTGCAAGGGAGATTGCAGCAGTAATTAGTAAGGTCATCCCTTTTAATGATGGCACGGAAGATACTCTGCTACTGTTTAAAAGGATAGTGTTTAATGATTAATGATTAAATCGCACTCATTAGAGTGAGACAACTTCACTAGTAAAGAGTCTTGTTGTATGGTGCAGCAAATTCTGAGACTGAAAACAGCATTCTTATTAACAAATTGGTTTCATATATATTTCTGCATAGGAAACTTAAGTTTGAATAAACATGAGAAGCAGACTTTTTTGGTTAAATAATAATTTGTGCCCACTGGTCAGGAAGGTGAGAGGACAAGAGCGATCTTAGCTTGTGTCAAATCGTTCATCATAACTGCTGAAAGCAAATACTTGGCCTGTTTAGTCTAGTGTGATCACAAAAATCTAAAGTATGTACTGGATTTGTACTTAAAATGTAGAGCAATCAGACTTGAAGTAAAATTCAAAATGGGTGGATCTGAGGGAAGCCTATTGGTAAAAATCCTAATAAAGAGGGAAAGGAAGAGGAAGTACATATACTTCAGTATAATGCGTTTGCTAAGCTCTAACAGTATCTGGGGGATAGTCTGTATGTTCAACTGCCTTTCTGGGCACATCTTTTTGGAAGCTTGTGGGTCACAAGCAGTTACGATGGCTAGGACAAGTAGCTCTAAAGTTAAACTGATGTCTTATTTCTTGTTGACTGTATTCTGTCCTCAGCAAGATTGGAACAAAAGTCTTGTTTATTGGCATACACCAAAAGTCATTGCTTCAGCTCAGAAGATGTTTGTAACTACAAATATCTAACAATCTGCAGATTTTCTTCAGTTACAGAAACATTCTCTGCATGTACAGTTTGTCAGATACCATTATGAAGTTGTATTGAGCTGAAATAGACTTCCATCAGTTTCTTCAGATTGAGTGAAATTGCAGGAAAATTACGTATTTGTTTCTACTATACTAGAACTGAAGCATATAGCTTGCAGCTGCCAAGGAAGGGAAAGAGGAAATGGGCAAGGGTAGAAATCATGGTTTGATTTTTTTCACTTGACATTTGATATTAATTGGCAACTTTCAAGATCACGCAGCAACTGAAAATAGGATTCCTCTAGTCTTCTGCACAGATTATATACTTGAAATAGCAGCCCGAAATGACTCGTCATTTACGTTGTGTCATGAATTATAGAACCATGAGGGTTTTAACTAGAAAAAGTGAATGGAGTATTATAAATGAACAACCTAAACACGTTCTTTGTAACACTAATGAAAACCTGTATCTCTCTCTTTGATTTTTTCTCTCGTTGTTCTTAGTACCCAAGACTGAAGGAAGAGAAAAACCTGTTATCACTTATATAGGAGATACAGCTGTAATGGTTTGTAAAACTGAGTATAATGCCAAGGCTTGGACCTGGTATATGACCAATGGAACTGAGCTGGTAAGGTCTCCCTCTGTTGGCCAAGCAAAACAGTATGACAAAAAATAAGTACAGATACTTTGTACTTTACTGCAAGCTCTACAAATGGCATTTCCATTAATGGAAATACCTTTATGGAAATGGAAAAAAAATCTAATATATGCAAGTATTCCTTGTTATAGGGATGTAGTTTTTTGTTTTGGTTTGCATATTTCTTCTTCATACTAAAAGGCCCTGCCATACACCCAAGTGCGGTGAGTGTTGAGAGACTTGTTTTTACTGTATTTATAATGGTTATACTACCCAAATATTGCTACTGGATACAAAAATAATCTTACAGTGGGACATCCTTTCACCTGTAAGATGATATATAACCTTTTACTTCCTCCAGGTAGAAGTAATTCTATCTCTTAGCCTTACGACAGATGCAGAAAGCATAGCTTCCTTTTCATCCCTCTTCTGAGGGGCAGCACTGTCAACTGAGAGAATGCAAACAGATCTGTCTCCTTTGTAATGCTGGAGATCAGCACTGACTTTTTTAAGAGAATCAGTGTATGTCCCAGTGAGGGAGAGCCCCCTCTTCCACTTCCTTGGAAGTGCGTGTTCTGTGGTGTGGTGAAACCCATGCATTAGATCTGGCAGCCAAGGATGTCCTTTGTCATTGGAGAGTCAATAGAACCAAAGATGCCTTTTGTGTGATTGTAAATAAACTAAAACAGGTCAGACAATTTTCCCACTGAAACTTTGTATTTTCCTCCAGTGAGTAGTCTAGAAGGAACTAGGGTGTCCATAAAATAAATCCTTCCCTCTAAGGTGGGGTAATGGTGCTTCATGAATGCCTTTTGTTCCTAACTCATTGTACATATCTATACAGGACTGAATGTTGATGATACTGTTTGATTAAATGCCTTCTCATTACATTAAGACTTGCAATGTATTTTTTTCAGGCTCCCATTAATACGATTTTGCATACTGACAAGTTTGAAATTATGAGAAAATCTGCCAAAGTAAGCCGTCTGGAGATCTTCAAGCTCACAAAGAAAGATCGTGGTGTATATTGGTGTGAAGCTGTTTTTGATTTAGGGAGAAGTAAAGCGAGGTTTGAACTTAAAGTTCTTTCCATCTCAGCACCTCTCAAACCCTTTATAGCAGTTGTGGCTGAAGTTGCTATTCTCGTAACTACTATTGTCCTCTATGAGGTGTATTCAAAAAGGAAAGGAAAAGGTAAGTTTTGGTGGGGAGTTTTTGGTTGGTTGATTTGGGTTTTTTAAATTAATTTCTAGCTTTCTGTTGAATTACAGCCGAAAGTAGAAAATGACCCATAGTGCATCATACATGAAGATGGGTTATTTTCACATCTGTATTTCTGATAAAATTCTTTCATATAAAACACTACAATGAAAGGAGCTTTCACTAAACATTACTTACCCATAACAGTTTTGATATAGTCCTGGTGGTTTTTTTCCTTACAATACAAGGGAATTTTGAGGCTATAATTTTTGAGGGAGTGCTAAGGAATGGAAGCAATTCTTGGTAGCCTTGATGGGAGAAAATTCTTTAGAGACATTCAATAAGAAGGAGAAAGGCATGTGTCTAATACAGACATAAATGCATGGTATCTCTATTTTAAAATACAGAAATGTATCAACCTATATAGATAGGTATAGACCTATATAAAAGATGATTTTTATTAAAATAAGACTAATAAAACTTCATTAAAATAAGCTTTTTCAACAATTCGGAGGTAATTCCCTTGAATAGATAAACAAGGTAATTTGAAATACATATTAAAGAAAACTAACAAAATAAAAAAATAACATTTTGTTCTGATTAAACAATTACTAAATGTACTAAACAATAAATTTTATATTTATTAAATGGATACTTTTATGTAGTACTTCTTTTGTTCTGCAGGAGGTGGAAAAGAGTTTGACCAAATTGAGAAACTGTAAGCAAAAAGTTCCTATACTGTAGTTCAATATTTGTTCCTATGTGTATTTGTGTTGTACAAAATTATACCTTGTTGTTGATCTCATTGGTAAGGGGGATGATGGTCAATGTGAAAGAATGTCTTATTCTTTTCCTTAAGACTTTCTAATTCCAGAGTGAGAAGAACACTCTTTCCCACCTTGAGCTTGATTTTGAAATGAGGAATTTTTTTGGTGGTTTGTTAGTTTTGTGTTGATTTTGGGGTTGTTTTGGTTTTTTGTGAGAGCACAATGCATCCTCATTATAAGCTAATTCTAGAAGACTATAATTTCATGGAAATTACTTCCAGGTGAAAGTGCAACCTGAAAGAGGCACTTTTTTTTTTTTCTAAGTATAGTTGTCCATGTTAACATACATTTCTCTCATTGGCACGTGGTCAAAGCCCTAACTCTTGTAGCTAAGTCTGTAGCTGCTGGGGTGCTGGGAGCTGGTATTGTTGGCTGTTTTGGGGGCTAACTCCAACTTCTCAGGAGATTGCACACTGTGCTAGTAGTTTGGGCTGCGTTGCTGTTAACCAAAGGAACCAGGTGTAGGCACTTCAGTTGCTCCTCTGCTGTTCCAGGGTCTGTGCTCCTATGCTGGCTCCCCTGTGCTTAGGGTAATCTATTTCTTTAGGCTTGCTTGCTGAAGTATGCTATACCTGTCTCTCTGCCTATCTGCTGAAGCCTGGTTCCCTTACCTAGCCTATTTATTTCTTAAAACAAGAGGAAAATTGCCTAACAGGTCCTCCTTTTAGATGTGTCCAGTCTGCTCTTTATCTCCTTGATCCCTTCTCTCCTGCTGTATTTGTCTCCCTTTTTCTTCTGAGTATCTCTTTCCCTCCTCGATTTCTTGTTTTGCTGCAGTGACCTCCTTAGTTTTCCTGTGTTGTATTCACTTTCTTACTCCTTTTTTCAGTGCTGAAAATACATTTTGGTGCTTTTTCACTTATCTGAACAGACTTAAAGTTCTAATTCAATTACAGAATAAAGTGGGAGTATGTCTTGGGAATATAGTATGCTATTATACTGCTATATGTTTGGGGCTATGTCTTGAGTTGAAAATTGAAAAATTGCCTTTATTGCACAGCCTGCTTCTCATAAACATGCTGAAAATACCAGGATGATAACAGAATAGTGCACCAAAATAACGTTTTTGTCCTTGTGGGATGTGGTTCTTCACAGTTGCTTATAATCTTTATTGTGTAATTCTTAGATAAACACATATGAGGAAAATTTATTACCTATGTACTTCCATGATTCAAGAACTGAAATTTATTTCAACTATTGGCTGTTTAGAAGATGGATTTGTGTACCAGAGAGTGGCTCCAAAGGAGCCTGTCTGGTCTGTTATGTCAGGGATGACCGATACAGCTGTATTTGGTTGATGAGGTTATAATTAAATGTCACATCCAGCAGTGTATTTAGGTGGGAGCCTAGTGAATCACAAACTTTTTTTAGCAAGAAAACTTCTAATTCAAGTCACAGCATAATATCTAGTTACAGTTATTCCAGAAGGAGACTTCTGGAATATCTTACTGTTCAGTTTTGGAATTTTTGCTTTTTTTCTTGTAGTAAATCAGAAGAAAACATTGCTGGGAGATCCAAGTAGTTCTAGGCAGAGAAGTAAACCTCAAAAAGTAAGTAAGAGGTTTCTTGAAAGGTAAGTAAGAGATGAGAGACCAGAGTTCACTTATCTTTTGGGCAGGCTAATACTAGGAAAAAGAAGTCTGCTTTGCTGTCCCAATCTTTCTTTTTATGTGGAAGTAACATAGTAATTAAATCATTGTTTAGGTAAAGTCAGATACAGTTGAACAGGAAACTGAGTCTAAATCATTTTAACTCAATTGTGTTGTCATTGTGATTTACTAGCTCTGTTAAACCATGCAGTCTTTAAAATGAGACCCAGGTTAACCTGCTTGACTCCTGATCATGAAAGAATTCAGTGAATGCCAGGGTAGATGCTGAGATGCATAAAGGTACTGCTGTGTTCAAAATGCCACTCTTTCTGGCTATATTTAGTGTGTTGGGAGTTTATGGAGGAGGGATCCTCTGTTATAGCAAGTGGGGAATATGACAGTGCTAGAGAGATTTAGAGGAGTCTGGGAAAGAAGACTGAGCTTAATAGATGGTGATTGAAAGGACTAGTTGTAGAATGAGGAACCAGAGTGTGTGTAGTCCCTCAAGAGCTATATAATGAACTTCCTGATTCTGTACCCTCTTTACAGTCTGATTATAGGCTGTTTCTACTTACGCCATCTGGAAATGCTTGTCAGAGGATAGTCTGTCACTTGAGGAGCGATCCTACACACACTTGTTTCTCTTCTGCATCTGGCACCTCAGCCTCTGATCTGTGGATGAGAGGTGTGAATGATTTTGTATTCACATCACTGCTGGTTCATCCTCATCACAAGCCATCTACCCAAGTTAAGATTGTTACCATACCCTTTGTTTTAAAGAACAGAAGGAAACATGTTAGGTAGAGTTCACATACTCAGAAAATGATCCAGAACAAATACTTTGAGATGATATGGTCTCTGTTCCTCTTAGATTTAACTCTAACTGGCAACTCAGCCCCACGCAGCCACTTGCTGTTGCTCTCTCTGGTGGGATGGGGGACAGAATCAGATGAGTAAAAATAGGTGAGCTCAGGGTCTGATATACAGCTTAACAGAAGAAAGCAAAAGCTGAACACAGAAGCAAAAGAAACGATTCCACTAATAAATTTCCACTATTTCTTATGGGCAGGCAGATGTTCAGCTGTCTCCAGGACAGAAGGGCTTCATCATGCTCAAAAATGTGTAATAGCTGCTTCAGTTAATCAAGCAAATAAATACTGTGACTCTGAATGTGTGTCCCCTCCCCATTTCTCCTTGTTCCCCCAGCTTTACATGCTGAGCATGATGCTGTATGGAATGGAGAATCCCTGTGATCAGCTAGGGACAGGTGCTCTGGCTGTGTCGCCTCCCTTATATTCTTCCAGCGTCCTTGCTGGTGAGGGAGAGGACAAGACCTTGTGACTGTGTAACCACTGATGAGCAATACCTGAAACATTCCTGTGCTATCAGTACTGTTTCCAGCACAAATCCAAACCTAGCCCTATACCATGTGCTGTGAAAAGAATTGACTTTATTCCAATCAAAACCAGCATACAAGGATTTATCTCATGTTGGGTCTGAGGTTCCATTCTTAAAAAATTCTTTTGACACATAGCACTCAGTCAATAAATAAGAATTATTCTCTGAGAATCACTTGCTTTGTCATCATGTACAGTGTCAAAAGTTTTGATGTGTTAACAGGATAAATGCCAGTTGTTCCCTTTAACTCCCTGAAAATAGATTGTAGCAAGGTGGAGATCAGTCTCTTCTTCCAAGTAACAAGTGATGGAACAGGAGGAAATGGCCTCAAGTTGTATCAGAAGAGTTCTATATTAAGTGTTAGGCAGGCTTGCTTCTCTGACGGGCATTGGAGCAGGTTGTCCAGGAAAGTGATGGAATCATCAATCCTGGGCATGCTCAGAAGGTGTGTGGATGTGGCACTTAGAGTTATGGTTTACTTCTAAATGTGGTGGTGCCAAGTTAATGGTTGGACTTGATGGTCTTAGAGGTCTTCTCTAATCTAAATGATTCCATGATGTGATTTGCAAATTGGACCATTCAAAAAACTAATGTTTTGATTAGAATTAAGTTTTTCAAGTAAGTTTTACTAACCAGCAAAATAACAGAATATATTATTCAGTTATTGAGTAATTCAGTATATTATACTGAATAAATATTCATATTGTAATAAAATATGTTTATTCTTTTTTATTGCAGGAGATTTAAGCCAAGAGAAGTGGAAATCATCGCAAAGCTACAGAAGATATATGCAACTATGCATTTTAAACATTCATTGTGTTTTGAAGTAAAGTCCTCTACATTTGAGTAATAAGATATTTTTAAAATAACTCTGAAACTACTCATTTTATACAGATAATATGATATACTGTATTTAAAAATTTATCTGCAGCAGGTAGTTTTTTACATGATTAGGCTTACTGTTGGTTTGTGATTGGTCTGTTTGATCTTTGTTTCCCAGACTGAAACTAGTGTTTTATTTGCTGAATAAATGGTTAATATAGGGTGTGCATATTATCTGAGTGTTATAAAACTGGACATACAAGATCACAAAAAGTATTTCCTCCAAAGAAAATGCCTTTTTACCAGCTGATGAAGCAAATGTGGTGCAGTCAGTTTTACCAAAGAAATGGTGTAAGAGGAATCTTCATCAGAACTTAAATGAAACAATTAAGAAAGTTGTGATTTACTCAGAACAGTAAAATGTCTTCATTCTGACTTTTCTTGGCTTTGTTCTCAGTTCTACTATATTATAGTCCTTAGTAGGCTAAACATTTAAATACCATGCTACTCAGGTATTTCAGAGTAAATAAGTACTGGGTATACAGTACTTTTTCAGACTATAACTGCAATAATCCCTTATGCCTTAAAAAAAATTTTCACACTCTCTGGACCTGAAAAGCCAGTTTGGTTATTATAATTTATATGGAATGCTGAATTTTCAGGAATATACCTATGTATGCATCTGATCATACATAATGTCTAGTTGGTATTTCTGCTTCTTTCAGCAAACTTGTTTCTTAGACTTGCAGAGCAAAGTGGGTCTTGAGCAGCTAAAATTTTCAGTATAGTAGGATAAAGCAACATGAATGCCACTACTTCTCTTACACAAAAATCTCAACACTGGTGTTAGTGACAGTACTGCTTTAGAAGAGTGAGTTGCCATAATACCATTTAGTTAAATTATGCATTCAGCAATTGAAAAATGCTCAGCTAGTAAGAAAACTGTTGCATCAGTTGCCTTTGTTTGAAATAATTAAAACATCAATTTTGAGAGGAAGAAGTAAAATCTTCAGAAAAATGTATTTTCTACATAAAAATGCAAAGAAAGAGGCAGCATTTGCAGAATCTAAGAAAGTGAAAGAAGAAAAAAATACACGTAACTTCTTTGTACTGGTCATTTTTCTTTGAACATAAATGTAGAAAAAAATAGAAAACATGAGGGAAGGGAATTAAATCTGTTTTATCTATTTTACTGTTCTTATGGGTTTGAAAAAGATCAGAAATCCTAGCATTGGCTGTTTTGTTGGAAGTGGGAGACAGAATCCAGTCTGATATATATTTTTTTGTTTTTCATAATTCATTTCCCAGTTTGAAGAACTCCAAGTTAAGGTCCAAATAAGACACAGTGAGAAGTATAAAAGCATTGGGTGATTGGCTGTAAGGAGTGAACATTGATAAAGATTCCTCTTACTTAGATACTGTGTTTTTTGTATTTTGCTTTGGACTTTTATGCACTATTAAAAACAATGTATCTGCAGTTTTTTATATGCATTTTTCACTGAGATAATTGATATTTTATTGTATCAAGTAAATATGGGCAGTTTTAAAATGTTACTTCTGTATATTGGCATATTTTAGAGTTTGTAGTTATCTGTTTCTTGTAAGCAGTTAAATAGTAAAAAAGGTAGTCTTAGAGATATAAGAATTATATTCTGAAAAAAACAGCATTAACATATTTTGCAATGGAAATGAGGTTAGATGCCATCTGGGAAAAAAGTCCGGCACTTAATCAGAAATGGTAAATCTTTCTGCCTTCACTTAGAGTTCCTACCTGATTTTGCAGTTGGGCTATAAAGTCTTGGCTAACATAGACAAGTCATACCAATAGATAGTTTATTTGACATTAGCAGGGAAAACATGGATTAAGCATGGATTTTGGAAGCAGCACATCTTAGATCTATCAGAGCTATATTACCTTAGTCAGATTGGCTGCTGAAAGCATAGCTTTGCCTTGACCTACCTCTAGAATGTTCTACTTGGTTTGTCTGAGGGTTTTGGTGTTTATTTTTAGGCTGGTGAGTAGTTTTGAATCATTTTAAGTGGTTTTATTTTATGCATTTTCTCCTAGGTTTAAACCCTTTTGGGCTTCCCTATGAAGGGAAATAAGAAGTAATACTAAATGGTAAATATTAATAATTGACATAATTAATGGACAACTTCAAAAGCATAAGCTCTCCTTTTCTTGGTCCAAGTAACACAAGGAGCTGTGGAAATATATTTTTGAGAAGTAAGTTATGTATATATTCAAAGCATTCCCACTGCAGTTGCTTTATGATTTTAGCATTGAATAGAACAAAAACTTTGTGACTTTAAAAAAAGCCCAAAACTCTAGGCGGTGATTTTTTTTTTTTTTTTTTTTTTTACTTCATTTGAGATAGGGGATAATAAATAAGATCCAAAACAATTGTACAATTTCCTTCAAACAGTAGTTGGAGCTAAGTGTAGGGACCTACAAAATTAGTTTTAATAACAAAACATTAATCTGTAATAACTTACTTAAGTGGGTAGACTGAATCTTAACAACTGCAACTGCTTGGCAAATCTTGTCTTTCAAAATTAAAACCTTTTCTTGTAAGAGGGGATATTTTCCTGGATTTTAGATGAACAAAAGCCTTACCAGTTTCTTAGAGAAGGTTGAAATCCGAAAAAGAGTCCTGAAGAGCTGTTTGCTAATACTTCCAGCTGCTTCACTGCAAATCCTTCCTGCCCTTAGGTCTAAAGTAGACACAAGCAGCTCTGAGACCAAATTCCTAGTGAAGATGGACAGATATTAGAACAGCTTCCAAACTGGGGGTTCAAATACAACTGCATTAATATTTCTTCAGTGTGGAGACTTAAGCATTACCATACAGTTGTTCAAAAAAAATTGATTAGCTGTTGATTCTTCAACACATGTAATCCTGGGGCAGAGAGGGAAGGCACATCAATACTGGTGTTGCTACTAGAATCAGCATCCATGTGCCTTTAACTCTTTTTCAGCCAGAGAAAGAGGTTTATATTCTGTCTTTAAATTGTTCCTCAGAACCTTTGAGCAGTGACTGCTGAGCAGTGAAAATTGAAAAGATGCTGATTGGTACCTTAAGGTCAAGGGAGGTTTTTGAGACAAGTGGTACCCTAAATGTTGAGCTTCCCAGCACGTGTTGTCTGACCACAATTAGCCATATGATGATTCAGTTCTAGCTGGAAGCTCCCCCAAAACAGAAGGTGCAGATAGTGAGGAAGCAACCAGTTGAGAATGTTGTAGGGACATGGGAAGGAACTGCATATTGGTGTTCTGTAGGGGTCCTGAGAGACAGGTAGCAGAAGCTGTCTTGCAGTGAGACATGTACAGGGAAGATTGAATGCAAATCTTTAGGAGAAAACATGTTTTCAGTTGTACCACTCAGACTGTGTAGAAAGCTCTGTACAGCAGCTGAAAACAATCTGCCATTGCTGAACACTTGAACAGATGAAAGCAGAAAACCAGATGAGATGTCTCATGACAGAACTAGAAGTTACTTGCTTAGAAGATACTTCTCTGCTAGTTTAACAATTTTGTACTCTTGTTACTTCATTAAGCTAGAATACACATACATAATCCTTTGTGAAAAAATAAACCAAGTTCCAAACTTTACAGCTTCTAACTGAAGGTCTTGATTTGTCAAAATTTACTGTTGGCAATTGAGTTCATTTTTGTAGAATGTTCATTCTGTCATACTCAAAATTACTTCCTTACAGAAACTTCATCTGCTTTGTTTTTGTCTTCAGCTTTATATTGAACCAAAGAGATTTTGCAGGTTTTTCTATTACTTATGATAATATTTCTATCAGCTGACTTGCTGAGTTATTTTCAGATTGACATTAAAACTTTTAACAGTGCCTGGAAGGAAGAAATTTTTTTACTGTAGTTAATTTTGCTTTTCTCTTTTGCAATATGTTTGTTGAAAGTTTTCCTCTGAAACTTGACAGCAAAATGTTTTCTAGTGGAAGACTCCTAAGCCTAATGCTTTTTTCATGCTTGCCTTATTTTATGTTCTGATTTTATATTCTGTGCTCACTCAACGGTTCCATTGTGTTGCTTAAGCAAATGGAAGTACCCTGTTTGATGTATATCAGATAATGAGGATGGTAGTTATGAGTAGTGTGAATTGATACGTATACTTAGAAATAATTTCAATAAATTTAACCATAAAGTGATTGTGATCTAATGCCTGCTGTCTGATTTTGTTTCTGTAACTCCCTCTTTTTAATTTTATTTCTCCATACCCTTTATCTTTAGATCTTTAGACCCAGACTGCTCATTTGCTTGATTACCCAACTGTCTCTACTTAGATCTGTAACCTTCTAGATGGAAATTCCCAAACATAAAATAGAATCTGTGTAATTCCTTTTTAAATGCACACACTTCATCTGGCCTAGATTCACCCTTTGTAACTTTGACATACAAGTTAGGAAGTTGCATCTAGTGTTTCACTTTTAATGGGAGGTGGTGCTAAAGGGTATCTTCCAGCAGAAAATAGCAGTCTAAATAGAATCTGGATTAAGCAGGGTAAATCCCACCCTGTATCAGTCCTAATTTTTCTCTAAAGCACAAGCTATAAAAACACATTTATTTGGTGTTTGTCTTCCCATGAAGATAAATCTCTGTCCTTGCCTTGGAAATTGAAGTAAGCGCTGGTTTTTTTCCTGCCAGTTACCAGTTGAAGGAAGACCTAAGGGTATTTCATTAGGTTGCCACCTTCTATGATCATAAAAGCATAATAGGCATTTTGTTAGTACATACACTGTTTGTGTTAAGGAGCACATCCTTGCTCAGTGCTGTCTTTGCCAGAAGAGCTCAAATGGGATAAATTAAATAAACTGCACAGCAGCAAGGGTATATTTGCTCCCTCTTTTGGTAGCTGTTTTGAGTGTGAGCTTGTTCCCTTCTAGCAGAGGATGTTACCAGGCAGGCTGACCTTCGGAAGAGGATCGAGTACCATTACCTGTATTTCTGCCACTTGGAGTTTGCTGCACAGGACAAGT